GAATCCAGCAAGTATAGATACATTCCTGTGCTCTTATCCATATTGCTGTAATACTCGTTCCTTTGATGAAATGGAGGGGGATGGGGAGGTGCCAAATGATTACATACTTTTGAGGGAGGCGTAGTAACATCAAGTTTGGAAACCACTGTATTAAAGTAACTTAATGAAGAAAGTTGCAGAACTTATGGGATTTTCTGTAAATTACAGTGAAAGTGTTATTATGTTTGTTTACATAATTTCGTTTGCTGTAATAATAAACGAAATATTGACTTTTGCATGAATTTCAATCCGTAATATGCATGAATATGCTATTATATCATTTATACATTATGCATTCAGCTTTCATTATCATACGTTGCTTTCAACATGTGTTTTGTCCCGAATAGTAAAAAGCTTTTTAAATATTTAATATTGCGTTTCCGAATAATAAATAAAGGCCTTTTCGGATTACATTTCACAGTTTAATCAATTTATAATTTAATATTTACTAATGCGCATCAATTAAGAAAAATGTATATATTAAATTCACGAAAACGCAAACGTTTGCACTGAATTTTGTAAATTTGATTATATAATTCTGCTTGAATGTCTTTTTTAAGTAATATTTCAGTATTCTTACTTACCAGATGGAGTTATTCAATTGTAAATAAACAAATACCACTGGAAATTTTGTATTGTTCTTCAAGATTTCAGCTGAAAGAAAATCCAAAGTAAATATTGTCCTAATCGGAGTCAAGTTTCGGTTGAGTTTAAACTCATCGCGCGGTTCGAATCGCTTTTGGAAAACTTTGTTCGAGACGAACTTTCCATCAATACGATTCCACGACGGTGGTAAGCTTTGTGCAAGCAATCCAGTCTAACAAAAGAAAAGCAGTTATCCGACAAGAAACGAAGAAAAAAAAACGATTTCCATTTTCGTATTTATACACGTTAATATTAGAGTTTTCCGGGTCAGAACAATAAAATATTATTGTTGTTTTTTTTTTCTCAACGCGATTTCCTATTATAATATTCGAACAGTTACAGTCGAAATTGCGTTTTCAGCTTTGCGCGAGTAGATATTTCGCTCCGAGTATTTTTATTACGTGCACGGTGCAATTGCGTCGAAACGAAAAGGGAATCACTCAAATTGTTTGTATATAATCGCATCCAATTTACTTTACGTATGCAGAACATTGCTCATTCCATCTTGCAGAGAGAGTTTTCGTTTCCAAATGCTACGGTTGCTGAGTAATTCGTTGCACTTTATAAATCAATAATCCTGAAATACTATATAGAATCCACACGTCGCATACCTCAACGAAAAGTTTAGATTTATAATGATTGAAAAATGTTATGCTTGATTTATTTAGTGATCAAATTTGTTGAAAATATCTGTTTTATAAATAAAATAAGATGTAGATGCAAATATAAGTTATTAATAATGGGATTTGTTTTAGATATTGGCGAAGAGAAGCGGTCTAAATTGGAAAAGTACGCGTGTGCTCGGCGAGCTGCAGAAAGGGCTTAATTATGATCTGGAAACAATGATTTCCCTGGTTGCCAGAGTGTTGCACACGGAGCCCTACAGCAAAGAGGAAGTCCTGACCGAACTGGAGGTTACAAACGAAACTCTGGACGCCGTTTCTCTCACGGAAAACACCAAACACATTCAGACCTACAAGCTACATCAAAGGGCGATGCACGTGTTCGAAGGTAAGATTTAATGAAAAACCACCGTATGCAGAACGAAACCAACCACTGTCTGTCTAGACATCATAAAAGTGAAGGGATTTGTTTGCATAACCAGTTTTGTGTGTGTATATATGTGAAATTCAGAATATTTCGGGTATGCGCGTTTTCGGAATTCCGATGCTCGAGCCCCCACGGTTATTGCCTTCCACAATAATTTCGCATTACCATATTTGATACATTCTTCTTTTTTTTTTCTCTTCTTCCGTTTTGGTTTGTTTTTCGCCCCACAAAAGGCATTCATAAGAATCTCCAGCGCGGCAATCGCAAAAGTATAGAGCTTCGCAGCATCTGCTTTAAGTTAAAGGATATTCAGGATTATAGAGCCTTTGTGTCGGGAGCCTTAAAAAAAAAAGGAATTTTTGATAAGCGCACTTGAAATTAATAAATGTAATAGTGGCGAACAAAAAAAGGGATGAAAAGAGATTCCATTTGAATTAATAATTTCTTAATCATATATCATGCAATTTTTTTGTTTTGTTTTTCCTTCAGGATTATTATTTTTTGCTGCACGATAAATGGAGAAACATTTTCTTAAAGAGATGAATCACCGGATAAGAAGCATCAAAGTTTTCGTTAAATATGAAAGTTTTTAGCTGCTACATTAATTATTCTTTTTAATTCATTTTTTGCTTCGTGTTCGCTTTATTGTTGCCTGCAAAGAGAAGGTTTGTTAGAGTAAATTTGTTGGTGTTGTTGTTTGTGTTTTTAGAGGCGTTGCGTGTGCAGAAGTTTTACGAGGAATGCATAAGGGCTTCGGGATCTGCGGAAGGATCTTTGGTGGCGCTCGGCAGATTGATGGCGGAGAGTCATGCCAGTCTTAGGGACAACTACGAGTGCAGCCATCCTCAGATGGACAGACTTGTTGAGTTATCCGAAGGGCTTTCGTTCGGGGCGCGGCTGACTGGAGCGGGTTGGGGCGGATGCATCGTCGCCCTTCTCACACATTCGACCGTCGATAACTACATCTCGACCATCAAGGAGAAATTCTACAAACCTTTGGGAATTGATGGAAGCGAACTGAATACTCTGATCTTCGCCACCGAACCCAATCAGGGAGCCTGCATTTACCAAACAACAAATTGATATATGTATTACATGAATTTTTTTTGCATTTGAAGCGAATTTAAATCAATAAAATTAAAAATATTTCAAGTAAAAAAGTGTTTATCACCATAATTCATTAATTGCACGCATAAATTCATATTATTACTTACACATCAAACATTGTTTAATTAAAAACTATAGCGTTTCTTTATGGGTTAATTAAAACGTTTATACTAGTTAATTACTAAAGCAAATATAAGTTATCGTGTGTTTACTTTGGGTTTACGCTTCTAAAAATAACTATAGCAGTTTATTAGAACGTCGAAGCAAATTTAATGGAACTATCTCATTGTGATGTAAAATAGTATCTCGTTAATTTTCTGACTATTGTTCTGAGCTGAGGCGTCGGCGAAATTGAGTCATTAAATCTATATTAATACTCAATGTTACGCGACGAATGAACAAAGCTAAATAAACATGGAAAGAAAAAGAATGAAAGAAACTGAGACTGGCTTGAAATTGAAGTTTATATAACCTGACCGTCCTCAGACTGCTCCGGTTCTTATTTTCCAACGAAAAGTTTAGAACGTATCTCAGCCCTATTGATACGTAAGCACAGATTTCCATAAAACCATGAAGTCATTAAACGGTGGAGCGAGTATTGAGGGAACGGCGGAAACATCGATTTCGCGACCGACACATTAAAATCAACAGCGAATGAAGCGGGGAAATAGTGCGTGATTACTAAATTGCGGTGATAATTAAATGCGTGCATTTCCATTATTGATCCTTCAACCAATAAATTTCCAATTTTTTTTTTTCACAATTAATTCTACATCTCATCTACATTTTTTTTGAATCGGTTCTAGATTATTATTATTTGTTTTTAACGGTGCTCCGAATTTCATAAATGTTTTGACCTAAAACAACAACGCACTGAAAGCGTTTCATATTTAAACAAAAATCCAATATATTTCATAAATATGCACGAGCGTAGTTATGAAAATATTTCACTAAATTTTAAAACATATACATTAATACTTGTATTGTTTTTTAAATTGTTGTAGAAATGGGAAATATGAAATTTACAGACATTTATTATAGTATTTCAAAACTATCACAGTTTAAACTTGTAATTAGCAATTTTACCTGTAATATAAATTGATTTACGTAAGGTATTTTTTAGGTAAATTTTGAAATCTCAGAACTAGTTTTTGTGAAGGAACAACCAAGTCAAATGCATGCACTCGAGTGAATGAGTGCTATAGATTCGGGGAGTTTGATTTTGAATGTATTTTAAAAATACATATAAATCAATGCACGAATGTGTATTTCCATATACACTCTAGTGCAGTGGTTTCCAAACTTGTTGTATCTATACTTGCTGGATTCCCCAAACATTCAGCTTTCATATGCATATATTGGATTCATTCTATCTATTACAGTTTTCGAATAAATCAATGAAATGTGAAAACACTGCTTTTTCGAACGTTGTAATTTCAATTTTTCAACTTTGAACGCGTATTACAGCAATATGGATAAGAGCACAGGAATGTATTTATACTTGCTGGATTCCAAAAACATTCAGCTTTCATATGCATATATTGGATTCATTCTATCTATTATATTTTTCGAGTAAATCAATGATAATAAGAACATCTCATCTACATATTTTTTTAATCGGTTCTAGATTATTATTTGTTTTTAACGGTGCTCCGAATTTCATAAATGTTTTGACCTAAAACAACAACGCACTGAAAGCGTTTCATATTTAAACAAAAATCCAATATATTTCATAAATATGCACGAGCGTAGTTATGAAAATATTGCACTAAATTTTAAAACATACATATTAATACTTGTATTTTTTTTTTAATTGTTGCAGAAATGGGAAATATGAAATTTACAGATTTTATTATAGTATTTCAAAACTATCGCAGTTTAAACTTGTAATTAGCAATTTTACCTGTAATATAAATTGATTTACGTAAGGTATTTTTTAGGTAAAGTATGAAATCTCAGAATTAGTTTTTGAGAAGGGATTCGGAGAGTTTGATTTTGAATGTATTTTAAAAATACAAATAAATCAATACACGAATGTGTATTTCCATATACACTCTAGTGCTTTAGGTTACGAATAGTTGGGTAGGGTTTGTATTTTAAAAGTATGTTGTGTCCAACCACTTAAGTTTGGGTACAACTGAGGACTATTATAGGTCATTAACAGAATCAATATGCATAGTAGGCAGATCCTACGGAAGACAGTGACTGTTTGCGGCGTTTTGTCGTGTTTTTAACTAGAAACTTGTAATTAGTCTTAGTCAATCCTTAAAAGTATCTGCATTTTCTTGGAAAGAATCCCAAGAGTACCAATTATTATAATAAACTTGCTTTAAACCAATTGAATTATTTAATTCCCAACTACTGAGACTCCACAACAACAACACCAGAAAAAAATATTCCACTGTGTCCAGAATTCCATCCCTGGGACACGACAAGTACATACAAATTCTCGTGCATTTGACGATTTTGTCCTGTGAGCTTTTGTTACTGCACGCTTTTGTTGCATCGCCAGCTTTTGTGTATTATAAAAATTGATTTTATTCATTACTTGTATAGGATTTGAGTTAATATATTAAAAATTCTTTGTGGTGGAACTATTAAGTAAATTGTAAGGTACTTTGAAATGATTTTTTTTTTGGCTCGTGCGTTTTCAGTTCAAGGACCAGGATTACATTAATTGTCGTGTAATTAAGTGGTTTTCCCCTGTTTTATTTTCCCGCAGAATGCGGAGCGGAGAAAGAATGAAGGAAGGGCACATAAAACTAGGGGTATCCATGGAGATGCAAGACGTCCGGCTTTGCCGGGAAAGTGGTAATTATTACAACGGGAAGGCAAAAGCGTAAAGAAAAACTTGTCTTCCAACCCTCGTCTAATTTCTTTCGCCGCTTTCTACTAAATGTAAAAGAGCACTTTATTATTATTATTATACGCAGTGCAAATATATGAAAAATGAGAATGAAGCAAAAAAATAATATAATATTAATAAAGGACGAAACTAATAATAAATGGGCAAGAGAAAAGATGGGAATAAAATGTGCACGCATGGAAGCGAACTCTGGGGAAATTACCTAACATATTTTTATACAACCGACGACATTGCATTTAATTATATTCAACAAGTTTCGCTTATTTCCAACATGTTCAACTCATTTTCATATATTTAATATTATGAATGTTGAGTTCAAAGTTAACAAAGTTAAAAAAGTTTACAGTACAGTGATTTGTTGCAATAAATATTATTAATATTAAAAGGAATTTTAATAAGAAAATTATGAAATTTTATAGAAATTTTCATATATATTTTTTTTTTAACCCGGCGCATCCGCATTTTCCAAAATTAAATTTCCACGATGTATTTCTTCAATCTAATCTGAGCATAGAATAATTTACAAAGGCATTATTTTCGTCCTACTGGTAATTAAAAGTTTTTTCATCAATCGCACAGGGACTACGAGCACAAACGGATGATGAAGGAGAGACCGGATGAGGAAAAAAAGGAAGCAAACTTTTTTTTTCCTATCAAACACAATTCCCTTTTGTAAACGGATGAAACTAATTTGATCCCCAAAAAAAAAAAGGAGAAGGCGACAAATATTTACCTCGACCGCACTAAATTACCAATTACTTATGGGAAAGTAAATACATATTGGGAGTTACATTCTCACTTCTTGCCTTGACCATCTAATTTTACCCGTGTATTAAATAAATAGTGACATCCTGTACACGTTGTATGTTTACTTCGTGCTAACAAACCCTTTTCTAGGTCATTTTTTTTAGAAAAAGGACAAAAGGATTTTTGTTAATATTTTACTATGTTTCATTTATATAAAATTGTCAAATGATTCGAATTATATCTTACTTCGTTTTCTTTTGAAAGTGGAAAAAAATATTTATTTTAGTCTTCCTATATTTCTGTGTATATCTTGAGAACTATTCGTTCATTGTAAATAATAAATATGCAAATTAAAGCTAAATATATAGGGATTATAATAATTATAAAATAATAATTGTGTCTTTATTCATTTTCCTCTAATTCGCTTTAAAATTGAAGAAATGAAACTATTAATTTTAATGAGGATTGAGTAAAACAAATTGTAAATAACTATAAGAATAGATGCTGAGAAAGAGTTGAGTATTTCGAATTAGTTAATTATAACGTGTAATTATAATTGATAAGTTTTAATTGCGGTTGAGGATTTTTGGGACTTTCCCTTTTGTAAACGGATGAAACTAATTTGATCCCCATAAAAAAAGGAGAAGGCGACAAATATTTACCTCGACCGCACTAAATTACCAATTACTTATGAGAAAGTAAATACATATTGGGAGTTACATTCTCACTTCTTGCCTTGACCATCTAATTTTACCCGTGTATTAAATACATCGTGACATCCTGTACACGTTGTATGTTTACTTCGTGCTAAAAAACCCTTTTCTAGGTCATTTTTTTAAGAAAAAGGACAAAAGGTTTTTTTTGTTAATATTTTGATATGTTTCATTTATATATTTCATTTATATAAAATTGTCAAATGATTCGAATAATATCTTACTTCGTTTTCTTTTGAAACTGGAAAAAAATATTTATTTTAGTCTTCCTATATTTCTGTGTATATCTTGAGAACTATTCGTTCATTATAAATAATAAATATGCAAATTAAAGCTAAATATATAGGGAATATAATAATTATAAAATAATAATTGCGAATTTATTCATTTTCCTCTAATTGAAGAAATAAAACTAATAATTTTAATGGGGATTGAGTAAAACAAATTGTAAATAACTATAAGAATAGATGCTGAGA